CTATGATACATAGTTATGGTGACCAAAATCCAATATAAAAATCACTTTGATACATGAAAACTACCAATGCACAATTAAATCACTCTTCTCCAAGTCAGAGCCTCTGGGCAGAATGTACAAAGTTATTATTCCATGCTTCTTGTACCCTGATTAAAATGAAGTTCTGGGAACTCTTTATCAGATCAGTTTCCTTTAGTGAAAAAGAGCACCATGATGTTTGTAAGAATGGATTTGTTTAGAAATATAAAAACACATATGGCAACACTTATAAAGGGTTTTCTATCCAACATCTAAGAAACAGAATCTGATCTCTTCCTGGGCTATCTAAATAAGGAAAGAGAATCACAACCTGCAGTCTAAATACCGACCACAGGTTTCAGTATTTAGCCCTCGAAAATCCAAGTGAAAATGAGCATCTTTTTCCATTCTACAGAGAAGAAATGGTCATTTAACTGGCACCTCTCCAAGACTCTATGTCCTCCCACCTTACTTGATTGAAAAAGTAAAGGAAAGTTGCTGAGACCATTCTAGAAAATATTCCCATATATGCTGGATAATGTCATTAGACTGCTTAGACACTAGGTGGCAGCATTGCATCTAATGCGGAAACACTTTTAAAAACAATTTTTTAAAATATTTATTTGTCCTCTATTGAAAAAAGATAAATTTTCTCAGCTAGCTTTCTGACTGGTCAGAAAGTGGTACTGCACAATCAGTCTTGTGAAATTATGTTACTGTAGATACAGGAAAGCCTTGCTTAATGTCCACAATTAGAACTGGCAATTCTATCACTAAGTGATGCAGTCATTGAGATATCATTTATCTATGCTGGACTTACGATATCTCTGCACTGCACTTAGGTGAATTACCTGCCGTCATTAAATGAGACATCACATGACTGCAACTTGCGATTTTACTGCTGCCTTTTGCAATGACTGCTTGTTGAAAGCTGGCTGTGAAGAGCTCAAATGGCGATCACATGACCACAAGTTTCTGTGAAGATCGTAAATACCCAATGGTGGCAGAGCAGCACCTGAATCTCGATCACATGACCATCGGGATGTTGCAACAATTATAACTGCAAGGAGAGGTTGTTACAGTTACTTTTACAGAGCTGCCATAATTTCAAAGAGTCACTAAACAGGGCAGTTTTTAAGCAAGGACTACCTGTAATATGAAAAAAAACCCATGTTAGTTTTCTTGTGTGGCTGATTTCCTGGTCTGGTCTACCTAGTTGGACTAACAAGAAGAGATTTTCTAACACAATTTCCAGCCTCCAAATTTTCTTCTTGATTTGTTCTAGTTTACCAAAATAATATTGCTTCACAAAAATATTCCTTTCTTCCTTCCCTCCATGACTAGCAACAGAATGCTTATTTCTAAGGACCAAAGCTTTTTACTTCAGTCACAATTAAGATGGAATATTCCTTTATTTTGTAATTTTGAACACAGGCCTTCCTCTAATCATTATTCGGCCTACCTTCCTTACCTTCACAGGTATCAGTAGCTCCCTCACATGTTTCAAATCCCATCACAATCTTGTGTAGGAGGTCATAAAGTTTCAGGGGAGGAGGGGGCAGACAGTGAGAAAGTGAGCCCATAAACTTCTGCCATTCACACAAACTTCCAATGAGACAGGAAACGTATTCATGTCGGAAATATTGAGTCGCTAAGCCTTCCAGCTGTATTCCAAAAGTCTACTAGCAACATTTCAATCAAGAGCGCAAGCCTGAGACAGCTGGGCCGTTTGAGCTGAAAAGCACGGTGCAGAATTATGTTGGTGAATCTAGTGCCCTCTCAATGACCTCATATTATAGCCACAGCATTAAGTCATGGAGAAACCTGTAAGTCAGGTGAATATTTTTTTTTTCCTTTTTAAAAAAAGTAGAAAGGGAAAAGCTCCTGAGTTCCCGGTAAGAATGCTAAATTACTCTTTCTGCCAATGAAACGGTTCACTTTCATTTCCAAGGAGCCATAAGCCCTCTTGACCCCCCCCCCTCCCTTGTGTTATCCCTTTCTCTGTTCGTGCAGTACTTTCTTTAATCTCTCAGATCAAAGACTGGTCAATAAAAATCATCCCTGCTTTTATGGGGAGCAAACAAGCCACACTCGGACTTATGATAATTGGAAAGCTGCACTCACATCTTTGAAGAAACTTTAAAGTTGTGAAAAGGAAGATTCTGCCCTGGTATTTCCAAATACGTTGATTCAAACATTTAGCATGATGGAGATTCCATAATTTATTTTGTCACCTAAAGAAATGTTAACTAACCTTGATTAGAATTACAATAGTAGGTTCATCTACTTGGTATTTTGCCACCAACAGGTTGTGACTTCTCCAGTAGGAGAAGTTAGGTATATATGGACCCATAACAGCATCGTCACTGTGAATTCTGGGATTTGTAATCCAAACTACCCAAAGAATATGGATTGCAGAAAGATGCATTCTGGCCTTTCCTTACAGGTTTATAATGTTAACTGACAACTACAACATGGACAAATTTCTTTCCCTCTGCCTAGAATCTATCATCACGTGTAAGACTCTCTGTGTGTGTGTGTGTTTTTGTGTGTGTGTTTGTGTGTATACACACACACACATAAATATATATGAATTTCAAAGACAGAATATATTCTATTTTTTTCCAGTAAAGTAGAAGTACTAATTACACAAACATGGGTCAGTAAAAAAAAAAGGTCAAGGGGGCAGGTAATTATTAATAATGGCACCTGCATTCATCAAAAAGAAGCTATTTTCAGAAGCTCATGACATTTTTGAGAGACAGAGCAAGGTTAATAGGCCAATATAGTGAAGGGCTGGTTGCACACGTTAACAAAAAATAAATCTGGAATTACTGAATTGAATGTAAAAGATGAAAGAACTTTTTAAATATGCTTTTTTCCCCAAAATGTGTGATATCTTGGCCTTACAGCTATGCAACAAGCTGAAAAATGTTTACAGATGCAGCATGAATGGAAAATGGAGCATTTTAAGTATCTTCTGACCAAAGAATCGGCTGAAGGAGTTGATTATCTGCATAAAGTCCACAAATCGCCATCACTGCCACAGCCTCTAATCTTTCTTGCCTTCCACTAGGGTAGCCAATTCACAAGAAGCCTTGAGTGGCAGAATTTACTTTACTGAGGACTAGAATACTGTACAATGTCTAGGTTTTTTTTTCTTCTCAGTCTTTCTCATCTAAATCTAGACTAGAAGTTCATACTTTCGGAAGTTGGACTTTTTGTGACTATTTTGCAAGACCAGTTGAGCTAAACATTATACCTAGTATCTGTGGAGTGGGTGTCCAAAATGTCAAGATGATGGCCACTTCTACATGACTCAAGCCCTGTCTCTTATGCATATACCAAGGGTTGGGGCTTTTATCTTGAGGTTGCAGCTGCCATCTTGGCTTTGTTTACCTTCCTCCTCCAGGGATGCTCCTGTTACTGTCAGAATCTATTATGCCACACAACCAAGACAATCTGGACATGCTCCAACCAACATTAAATATTTAAAAGGTCATTAATCTCAACTGAAGAGGTTTCTTCGTGGCCTTTAATCTCTAGTTCTAATAAACAGTCTTTAAGATTTTTCAGTCAACATCAATTGGAACATATCTGTCTATTTACGTAGAACTCAACAGTTCCATATTCCTGCAATACATGGTCTGAGGTAATCTAGCCATGAAATAGAGAATCCTTGAATGAGAAGCCATGGTTTTGCATTGCAAGATATCACATATCTGTAATTTGAGGAATACCAAATGTTGACAATTGACCTTTATCTTGTCTGGTTTGTTATATATATGCACTTTAGCTTTTTGCTTTTTGCTTTCTTTATTTGCTTCTTTTACTTTGTCTGTGTTAATGTTGTTTATAAAGCATATATATGTGTGTGTGTGTATGCATATATATGTGTGTATGTATATACCATGTTTCCCCGATAATAAGACCCTGTCTTATATTTTTTTGAACCCTGGCCTTATTGCCATGCACTCAAAAGCCCGATTGGGCTTATTATCAGGGGATGTCTTATTTTGGGGAAAACAGGATACACATCAGAGGTGGGTTTCAGCAGGTTCTGACCAGTTCTGGCGAACTGGTAGCGGAAATTTTGAGTAGGTCAGAGAACCGGTAGTAAAAATTCTGACTGGTCCCGCCCCTATCTATTCTTTGCCTCCCAAGTCCCAGATGATCGGGAGGAAATGAGGATTTTGCAGTATCCTTCCCCGGATTGGGGAGGGAATGGAGATTTTACAGTATCCTTCCCCTGCCATGCCCACCAAGCCATGCCCACCAAGCCATGCCACACCCACCAAGCCACACCCACAGAACCGGTAGTAAAAAAATTTGAAGCCCACACACACACATATGCTTTATAAACAACATTTTTTTAAATTTGATTTATATGCCGACCTTCTCCAGAGACATTAATACAAATTGAGTAAAAGAAGCAAGTAAAGAAAGAAAAAAGAAAAATGCTAAAGTGCAGAAAGAAATAAAAAGAAATAGAAGCTTCTGATTTTCTTTGCAACAAATATAAATGTAATCACAAAATTATCTCTTACTCTAAGCTCTAATTATCTCTTATTTCTATTATCCAATTTTTTTCTAATCACCAAAATCACAAATCATAAGAAATGCATGTCTTTTGTTTCTGTTTCATGCAAAAAGTCCACAAGGAGTTTCCAGTCAGTCATAAATATAGATACTGGGTTTGTTTTTTTTCTCTAATAAAAAAAAGTTAATTTATCCATCTCCACAAGTTCCACCATCTTCGACAACCATTCCTGCGTTGTGAGTTATCCTGTCTATTTTTAAACTGAGATTTTCTTTTCCTGCAAAATTATCCGATTTAAAATGTCTGAAATATAGCATTCCCATATAATATTTAGAGTTGGTGCTGATTTCTATAACCAGCTTGCCCCCAGTACGAGGATCATTTTTTTGAGGGTATAAATTCAAAATGTCATCCTCCACCACCACCACCCTGTAATATTCACCTGATTTTTTTTTCCTGCTACGTATCCCCCCAAAAATAGCAGGGTTTTTTTTTTTTTTTAGCTGAAGCAGCGCTGTCTGTTTCAAAATGCTGCACTTCTTTTCATTGGAAGCAAACACCTCTGCTTCTGCTCTGTGGTGCCATTCTCTGTGGCCTGCGTTTTTTACAACTCTGCCAGTGGAAGAGTGAAAAGCTGAGCTCCTTTTAAACAAGTTCTATGACAGAACAATGAAATGATTCTCCTATTGTTGGCTGTGTGTGTGTGTGTGTGTGTGTTTTTTTTTCTTTTAACAAGTATGTGGATTAAACAATAAAATTCTTTCTCTTTCTCTCTTTTTATAACTACCCTGATGTTACCATGCAACAATAGACCTGTCTTTCTTTCCCTTACAAGTTCATTAATAGGAGAGCAGTGTCATGGATTGTGAGAATAACCTTGAGGAACATGAGGAAAAGCAGCAGCCCAGGCAATGGTCAGATAAGAGAAATCTGAGTCCAAACCAGGAATGGATTTGAGCAGGGGTGGGCAATTATGGCCCCTTTACGACCTATGGACTTAATTTCCCAGAATTCCTGAGCCAACCATGCTGGCACAGGAATTCTGGGAAATGAAGTCCACAAGTCGTAAAGGGGCCATAATTGCCCACCCCTGGATTTGAGGAAGACTGGACACTCTCACTAGTTCTCTTTAGGAAAAAGGTGGGGAAGGGGGAAACACTACCAACCCAAGTTGGTTTTGGTTACTTTTTGGCCGAATGAACATCTTTACAAATCAAGGATTGCCCTACCCGCTACCTCCACGGGTAATACCTGCTATTTCTACTATTGTTTGTTTTATTAAATATTATACAACTGAGAGTATTGAGATCTCTTGGCAGCTTACATTTTTTAAAATGTCCAAAAAATGCTTATGATTTCTAGGGGGAAATTCAGTGGAAATAAAGATGATTGTAGCAATTGATGCTTTGATTTTCTGCTTGCAAAGTTATCTTTTACTTCAATTTAAAATGACATTGAAAATGCATAAAGCAGAGTGGGCTAGTATTACTGGCAGATGCCATTCAAGTGCTAGATACCCTCCCAAAATTATACATATTGAGTATGCATATTGACAATAATTCTGGTGAGAGAGAGAGGGGGGGAGGGGGAGGGAGAGAGAGGGGGGAGGGAGAGAGAGACAGATTGTAATGTTAGAGAAGGCTAACTAATCATAGCAGATTATGCAAATAAGTAGAATGTGGATTTTGATATATATATTTTAATGTTGTAAAACAGTGTCTTTCAAGCTTGGCAACATCAAGATATGCTGAGGTCAACCACTAATAATGGCTGAGGAATCCTGGGAACTCCACACATCTTAAAATTGCCAAGTTTGAAAAACACCAATATAAATGGAAAGATGGCAAGGATCTCAGCTTAGATTAGTATAGTCTTATAATAAAACAAAAACTGTATTTGCAAAATGTACTACAGCTAAGCTTAGACCTTCCTTTGGTTCCACTCTAAACCTCCAGTTGGGCTTTGCCTTTCTACCTGTGTCTCCGGTTGCAACAAAGATAACTTCCTACAAGGAAATAAATGGCTTGAATCCTCCCAAATATATCCCTTCCTCCCTTCTATCAGGTACAAAATTAAATTATGCAATCTTCAAGGGCAGAGGTCATGCTTCCTTATTTCTACAAAGGGACATTCAGTGTACTTGCTGGAGTGAAATACAACTAAGAAAAGGATGAGACATCTGCTCTCTCCTCATAAATAAGAAACTATGATTATTTTCGGTGTCCATTTATACTAAAAGGTTAATAGGTATTTTGCTAGCATACTTATTTTAAAAACGGGCTTTGGCTTCCAATGCCAGGTCAAGCACATCAAGATACAAAGGTTGTAAGAAGCTCCATATTCTATAAGGCGCTCCTTCTGTATTAAGGAGCTGTTCGTACAGGCTGCATATTAAAATTTGCCACTGAATATCAAAGAGATGTGACCATCACAGTTGATGAACTGATAGTGCTACCGTGCATTAATTAGAGAAACAGAAAGCTGAGCTTCAAGCATTTCTCTGTCATGATCAAGGGTCTTCAGAATTTTAGAGTAGATGAAACTCCCATCTTGACGTAACTATGCAACTACATTGTTACTTATATCTCAAAAGCAGAAGCTGGAGTCTTATATTTTTTCAAAAACAGTAAAATTAAAATCTGCTATTTAGCAGAATTGGTCCTTAGTTGCCTCACTCAAATGAAGAAAAATTCAGAAATTTGTGAAATTATTTTCTCAACAGATTTTACAAAGCTGAAGCACATACATGGGAGGAGAGAGGAGGGGAGGGGAGGGGAGGGGAGGGGAGGGGAGGAGAGGAGAGGAGAGGAGAGGAGAGGAGAGGAGAGGAGAGGAGAGGAGAGGAGAGAAAATCCTTCATCAGAGTTGTAGAAGAAACCATAATTCTTTAGATTTCTTTCTTAAGCTAAGTGGGAGGAAAAAAAGATATTGATTCAACAGATGTTTTGTTTATAGCTGATTTTTATATCATTAATACCAATGATATATTGTTGGCATACAATCCATGTCCACAAAAATGGAGAAAGTAAAAAGTGAGGGACATGAGCTATCTCCTACAAAAATCAAAGCTCATTTCAAGTATGCATATGACAAAGTAGAATTACTGACCCTTAAGAAAATTAATTTAACAATTAATAAAGGGAAATTAAACTAATCTGTAGGGTCCAAATTTCTAAACATCGCATCTACTGAGACTATAACAATCAAATGCTTGTTTAAATATAAAAGAGAAGGAAGCTCTTCAGACCATTATATAGTTAACAGGTGACCTTCCTACCTTGTAATATCCTCCCTTGCTTGGTTGAGTAGCTCATGGTGGTGGGGGAGTTTCAGGGGGTCAGATTTGCATGTGTGTTGTATTCCCCCCTCCTTTTGCAATCATGATGGTACACAAGGACACAAGGAAATTAACAAAAGCCAGCTCTCACAGTAGAAATAGGACATAATGCAGATGATTGAAAACAACTGAAATACGGGGAATTCAATACAAAACCACACAATAAATTATTATGAAATAACAACAGGTATTTCTATGATAGATGGATCTCTTCTATTCAGGCCACTGGGCAAAAAGCTTATTTTATTAATAGAATTGTTATGTATTAAAGTATTTTACAAATAGTCCTGCAAATATAAACTATACTGGGTTGCAGTCACTTGCATAATTAGGTATTTTAAATCCTACTGAAGTCAACAAGAATCCAGCCTCCACCAATTTGTAATATAGCCTATATATTTTACATATTCATATTCTTAAGCACTGCATATATTGTAAATAGCTGTTACTCTTCAAAAGATTAAATTATTTCAGCACTGAATTTTTATAATCAAGAGCTAGCCACTTAAAGCATTGTAGAGAGTGCTGCCTATCTCTTTTAAACCAAACATTCATGCTGGAAATAATATGATATAGGGATATTAATAAAATCCATAAACCGTTAATACTGTTATGCCTGCTTTGTTCTGAATTACACATAGACCTTTTATGTTTATTCCTCACAGAAAATGCATTAAAAATGAGATTCTCTCTAATTGCACTCTCTGAAGATAGCTGGTAAAATCATTTCTAGCAGCTATAAATCAATTGCAGTATTTAAATGACCTGCCAGGTGCATCTTCTGGGTATCAGACTAATTAAGGGAATGTATTAATTGCAACTATTCATCAACACCACCAATGTTGTTAGGTAACCCTTACAATGAATCTTTTTGCCATATTATCCAGCAATAAAACTGCTGTTTGGCCAAGTGGTGGGTGTATGGAAAGATGGATTTTAAAAGACAAACACAAACTAACGTTTGTTCCTAATTCTTTTTATTGACATATATTCTATCCCATCTAATGTTGAGGAACACGATTAATATGTGCGGGTTCACGGCAATAAAATATTGAATAACCTTTGTATATGTGTGTTGAGTGTGAGAGAATATATTTTTTCAAAAGCTGGGGAACTATTGTCTTCAGAGGGGGGGGGTGTGAGGGTTTATGTTTATGTTTTCACCAAATGGAATAGGAACAGTAATATATGGAAGATCTCAAATAAATTTGCATACTTAAATGAAGGCTAAATACAAATCTAAGCAATGTCAATTAATTAAGTCAGCCATGTCTGATTTCCTTGACTTGAAGGAAGGTCAGAATATTGCCTGCTGTAGATTTTCTAATGTGCATTAAAATTTTATAAAACATTTCACAGACTTTAAAAAAAAAATTTTTATTTCCTGAATAACTGTATTCTAGTTTTATAGATTTCACCAACAATATGTATTGATATTTGGATTCTATAATCTCTGTAGAAACCTCTAGAACAATCATACAATTTTCAAAGATGGCAATCCATTTCTGGCTATTTCAAACACAATTGCCCCATAACTTAAACTTCAAACTTACCTCTGCTTTTCACTGAAGCAGGAATCAGCAGCATTCCCCAATAATGTTGAGAACTAGATACCACAGAGGAAAACCATGACATCGCTCTGCCTCAAACCGATTATCTAATTTGACGGCTTCCATTTTCTTCTGCCCATGGAGCCAACCAGGAGCAACAGTTTTCCAGTTTCCAGAGTTTGGGATGAAGTCCAAGTGCATACATGCTTGATCTGGAATATATATATCCCATGTAAAGCTTGCCTTTAATATCAGGCATTTATTGTGACTTTTGAGCTCTTCTTCAGCTTGGATTTTAATCTAAATTGGAGAAATCTGCTTACCATCTCTTCCTTGCTGACCTGTTGCTCTGACTGTTGCTACAGTTGTTTTTTTAAAAATGGTTAATAACACTGAGTCTTTTTTTCCCCTCCTGTTCTCGCAAGTCCTATCAGTGATGGGTGATATCTCTAGGACAGTTTTCTTCCCACCTTCAGACAGAGATTCCATGTGAAAATGGGCTTTTCTGCTTCAATCTTACTTCAGCCAAGTTGCTTTGGCAACCAATGATACACTGCCCTCTTCCATCTTCTAAATGAGTCCTGGACACACCTCATTATCCAACTCTCTGTGCTCCTTTATGACAAGAGTATAACTCAATTGACAAGTACCTGGATTTCCCCATGTTTAAAGTTATGAGTACTCCAAAAATTCAGCAGGAAACCAAAATGAATTGTTTTGGTT